AACAACTCAACCTGCGCTGAAATTGTTAAAACACAGCCCCTTAATATATCATTGAATTTGATGGCTCTTTCAATTCCAATCACTGGGCTTTCGCACTCATTATCAGAATATTTTAAAATAACAGCAGTACAACTCGAGCACGATTGATCTATTGCTAAGTATGCATTGGCCTTTGCGAACTCTGATGCAAACCGATCTGAGTTTATGCAATCAATTAAATCAATCGAAGAGAGTTTGCAAATCAATTATGAATGCATGTTAGAGAAAAAATAAAACGTTTGTCTTCATTTTATCTGTTTTGCATTAGTGTTGCTTCATATGAGAAATAAGTGTTTACTGTGTTTGCGCAGGCTTATGCATATAAACTATAGTCACACAATGTAATGAAATTATTAGCAATGTACAAAACAAGATGCATATAAACTATAGTCACAAAATGTAATGAAATTATTAGCAATGTACAATACAAGATGCCCTATAACCTATCGATCTTCGGTCTCGGGTATGCACTGATCTGTTCTTGAGTTCTTCCAAAGGTCTCTTTGGTTTTCATAGGCCTGTGCAAACACAGTAAACATCTTTTATTTTCTCAATTTTTCCATTCAGTAATAATCAAGAGGAGATATCAAAGAACAATTCCATCAACAATTATTACTAATTAACCTTTTTTTTACACGAAAACAATTGCGGAAAAGTGACATTCATTTGATGACGAGTAACATTCATTAGTATCATGGATTTCTGCTAGAAAAAGTCGCATTCAAAAAAAACTATTCATCTTGAATATTTGTACCTCATCCTTACAAGCAATGTATGGGTAGTATGTAGCTTTAACATTCTATATGTGGTTATAAAGTTGTAAATAAAATAAGAATATAAGGACGCAATTGCTTTTTGATTTTCATATCTCAGAGACAATAAGTTGCTTTTAGTTTACTGGCACATTTTATGTTTTCATAACGCTGTTGTCGTTCTATCATTGTTACAACGGCATTTGGTGTAGTGTTGCACTGCAATATATATAACTGCTGCTTAAACTGGGGAAGCAAGGACTTCTATTAGATTTATAGAGCTTAATAGAATATGATATATATACACTGTAGTAGTCTTAAATTATAGTTTTTATTATGTGTGTCCAGTTCGTGACACTTAGCTGTTTTGAGAAGGCTGTACCCTGTTCAGACTACTTCGTTGATAAATCGACCCAACGGCGTAACTCATCGTTGCTGCCAAACATAATTCGAACAACCTCAGAAAAGTATTCACAACTAACCAGGTCCAGGCATTGGGTGCGAAGCTCTTGTTGGATAAACCACGAATTATCACAAGCAGTGTATAAATGTAGAGGAGTGCACATAAAACGCCGAAAACTGCGGCAAGAAGTGTGATTCGAATGACTTTCGCACTTGCATTAGCTCGTTTCTGATTTGTTTTATCCATCACTTCCGTGTTGTTGTTGTTTTGAAACTTGACAAGATTTGCTTCGATCTTTAGCATTTTTTGCACAACTCTTCTTCCACTGAACAACAAGCTTGCGGATATTCCCAAACAGCCAATCATATAGTAAAGTGCACAAAATACTAGCAAAAACCTTGCGCCTTTCATGTAGGTGGTCGCTAACTCCGAAGCTACGACAGCAACATAATGGACAGCAAGAACGAGTGCTATTAGTTTAATGCCAATAGCATTCGTCGCCATCACCTGGAATTTGCTGAGAAGCATGAAAATCTTGTGGACAAATACAAAGCCAGAAAAAAGGCATGGGTATCCAAATGAAAAAAGTAGCCGAGTAACGACGACTGGAATGCGTTCTGGTGGATTGTTTACGAGCTCGTAAGGCGCAATGCTCAAAGCTAATAACCTAGTTAATGCAAGAACGTTCACGAGAATTTGAACTGTTGCTGCGTAGCGTCGATTTGGCATGTTCCTCATTCGATATACCTTGTATAACTGGTACGCGTTGTAAAGAAACAGAGCGCCAAAGCAAGTGGAAAAAAATATCCAGTGTGTTTTAAATGCAATCTTCCAAATCCCGCTCACTGAAGCCAAGTCGACTTGCGGCTCTACAAATACGCCATTGTCCGCTGTCGTTTCTGGTGCTGCCAGTTCGGGATTTGGCTCGTAGTTCGGTTCCGGTTCGTGTTCGGGGCTTGTCTCCGTTTCATTTTTCATTACCTCGTTCGTCATTTTATGGAAAATATTGCTATAATAATGCACAGAATCTTCTCGATTGTGCAGCTGAATTTTTTCATTAGGTACGCGCTCGATTTTATATCAGCGTAGCGGGAGTGATTAGCTGCTTGCTGTGAAGAGCACATGTAAGTGATGTTTATATATTTATTTGTTTAATTACTTTCACTTGTTATAAATTTAACTATATTGTTCAACTACACAGCTCGTTTTAAAACACAATGATAACCTCGGAAATACTAATGACACATACACTAGTCGTTTGTGGTAAGGGCATGCGCAGTCAGCAGCGTAGGACGATGCTCGAGCTCTAGGTGTTAATAAAAATTAACACTGAGAAAGAGCTTATGGTCTGGCTTATTAGTTCTTTTCATTATTGTAGACGTAGAAAACGTCAAATGTTTTGAGAAGAAAATATCGATTCCCTGAAATCGTATTTATTCTGAAATCCCATCATCCTAAGCAGTCTTGCATGGTAATATATAAAACTTCGACTTGTTACATTTGCCATATGCGATTGTGGTTTATATTTTAAATGCCTTTGCAAAGAATAAGTAAACATGCTCGCCATCGGAGCCTGTTCATGCGCTTCATAGTATTCGGTATTGAAACGGAAAACTTTGTTGTCTCTGCTGCACCTGCTCCGCAAAAACAAGTTCATCAGTTATTACCAGACAAGCAACATAAAAATCGATTTCATTGCCAACTAAATTGCGCAAAAAAGTCGTATGTGGAGAAATAATCACTTTAAATGAGCTCATTAGGAACGTTTGGAAACAATTCAAAGCGAGTATAGCGACACATAAGACCTAATGAGGGCCAAGACGTCACAACTATAGAGAACTAATTGTAAATGAGTTTCTTTGATAGCTGTACATTGCATGGAAAGCAAAATCTGTTGTATTTCTACTTATGATGATTTTTATGCGGGAAAAAATAAACTCGATCATGGCTAAACTAAAATGTCTGCCAACAAAGCTGCTGATTCATTTAGCCGATCCGGGGCTCAGTCGAATTCGCACGAAATGTCCAGATAAAAACTATATTGCTGCAAGACTATTTCTCGAATTGCGTGCAAAACATTATGTAAAGTATTTTCGTTTCTTTATTTTCTTCCATAAGATTTTCATGCCACAATTAATATCGTTCACCAGTCAAATTTCATTTATTTGCATCTCGATATAAAACGCGCGTTGTGATTGGATACACAAGACCTATTGTTATGATAATAGTTAATCATTTATCATTCATAGCATTTCAAAAAGACCTAAATCACTTTATATTTTTATTGTTTGATTGTAGTAGTTTTTAAAGCACAAATTTGATACGGCATTTTGTGTTACTTATCTTGTGTGCTCTCATGCAATTCTATTTCATTTACAATGGTATCACAATTGGAACTTTTATTGATCTAAATTTCGTTTGCCGTAACCCCCAACCTCTCTGATAAGAAAACTCAATAAAAACATGTCTTCTTGCGTAGGATTATTTAATAAAGTTGTGCAATATTTCTTGATAAGGACACATAACATCTTGTCTAGCTGATGATTTTCCTTCCGCAGCGCGTTTAGTTATATAACATGCAAATGTCTGTCTGTGCAAAGCGTATATGCTATATATAAAGAATTTTTTGTAAAGATTTGAATTAGAATGCAAACAATTACTGTTAGTTTTATACTTCGATGTATGCCTATGTAAAAATATACTTATTTCAACGATCAACTCCGGACTCGGTCGTTGAAACAATCAATATGGCTGTTAGTAACGATACACGTGATTCACGGTGGCGAATCAATCGAGAGGTTTAGTCGTGCCTCGTAAATTTTACTCGATTCACAATATCAAGTTTTCTATGTCCAAGTATTTAGATTTATGTATGATGGAACGAAATTGGTATTTGTGAGTGAAAAATAAAAAATATTTTCAGAGTGGGAGAAATATATCTGGCCAACATCTGCTACAGTTATGTCATAACTTATGCTAACGACACATACGTATTGTAGGCAATGTTATTTCCCCCTTTTAAAAAGAGTGCTTTTTCACTTTTATTAGCAAAGATAATGCTTTTTTCTTTATTTAATCAAACCACGCAGAATGAATTCGTTGATTTAAAAATTTGTCTTATTGTAAAGTTAACTTGAACATATTTAGTGTGTTTATGATATCGTTTTAATCAAAACATCTACGCCTGTAGTTAAATCTAAGCAAGTCAATAACGTTGCAAACAAACTCTCGAGACTGCGCAAAGGATTATTGCGTCTGTCGGAAAAGATCATGTTAACTTGCGTCTTGACAACATTTGAATTTTATAAAAAACATTTTGTTCCGACTATTGTCCACTTTTTAAAGAGAATGTCCAACCCACTTAACTCTCCCCACGCGCGTCACAACGTTTATTTGTTTGGTGACAAGAGAAGCTGTTTCAGACACAAGCAATCTTCTTTCTTTATTACCATTAGCATTTAACAGGCTCTTTCAATATTAACGCGTCGATGTAGTTTGTCAGTAACGTTGTAATTGTTATTCTTACAGTAAATACCAAATGAAGTCTCTAGTCTCATAAAGACTGATCTCTTGACACTTTCGTAATACAAGAGCTCTTTGTACTTCTGTGTTTGTAATAAATTGGTCGTTATATTGTCTAGTTTTTCCGTTTTCGTCAGATATAAAAGCGAATTCGACAAACATGCATACCGTTGCAATAATGCAACTCAATGGGAGGTGAAAATTTTTTTCAAATTGTAATTCCATGTCGGTGTTATTAAATTCGCTTTTGCCTGCATTTGCGACATAACATGGAACGCCGAAAATTTGACGCTGCATTCTTGTGACCAGCTGTTTTGGAATGATAGTTGATGAGAGCCGGCAAGTTTTAGCCGAATGATAAAATGGTTTATCCGAAGAGTCATTCTGACGGTAATAGTTCAGGTGAAATAGACGATGATGTACCCTACCCCAATGCAGAGCCAAGAATCGATCTCGACTCCGTCGGCGATGTGTGGTGGATTTTATTCAAAGTTCACTGGATAACGTTTTCAGTATGTTTTAGTCTTTTAGCATTGTATAATGGCTATCAGTTGTACAAGACATTCCGCCTGAAGAGCACGACGAGGAAGAACTACATCAGTATTGTACAAGTTCTTGTCATATTACTCGGATTGACCAGAACGCTGTCTTTAAGTATTTCGCCTTACGATATCATGAGCAACACACCAAAACGCGTTCCGTACATTGTGCCTCGCTTGCTGTTTGCCCTTGGCTATCCTTGTCTTTTTTCTGGGTTCACATTTATGTACAAGATTTTTATGTTACTCAGCAAAGTTCAGGTTATGAAGAAAAATCCAATTGGAAGTAGAGTGGTCACTATAATTCTTGTTCTGCATTTTCTTGCGGTAATTACCGTCGAATTTCTCACAAGATATGTCAAAGGCGTGGAAGTTTTGTTGGTTTTTTGTGCCCTTTATTACTTTGTTGGATGTTTAGCCACCGCTCTTTGCTTACTCATCAGTGGAAGGCGTGTGGTAAAAAAAGAGAGAACAATTCAGAAATCGCTTCATCAATTTGACGACTCCAAAGCTCACCAGCGCGTAACACCAAATAATCTAACGGCAAGGAACAAAATCTTAAGGATTACCCTCTTGACTGCCGTATTTGGTGTGCTCTCTGCTCTGTTCTACATTTACACAATAGTTCTAATGATTAGATCTGTCAGTGGCGAAGCATTTTTTCCAGATCCCTGGACATGGCTCTTCGTAAACATATTTTTGAGAATTTTTGAGTTCTGCTTAGCTGCAACAATGAGTTACGCCGTTGCATCGAGTTATCGACACAATGCCCGTTCGGCAAGAACTTTTTATAACACAAAAGGTAGTTACGCTACCACAATCAGTGTTGCTTAACATATTTGAATCTTTTCTGTTACTCAATGACAAATAACATATTTCACTTCAGCACCATATTGGGGAAGCCTTTATAAAAGTATATATGTGTAAATATATCTCTAATCTATATCTCTGTTCTAATACATATTTCAAATCTAATGTATATTTAGGTTTCAACGTTTGAGTTGTTCCAATAACATGCATGTACAGGTCTCTCTAGAAAGAGTATAGCAGTTATTTTTAATTTCATTTATCAACACGATGATCGAATTGCGTTTATGAGTTACGCTGTTGCATTGAGTAATCGACGCAATGTTTGTTCGGCAAGAACTTTTTATAATTCAAGAAATAGTGACGCCTCCACCATCAGTGTTAAGTGAGAGTCGTCCCTGTGACACAAAGACCAATCATACATTCCACTTAAGCAACATATTGGGAAAGCCTCGATAAAAGTATGTATATCTAAATATTTCTCTAAATGATTCGAGATACTATTAACATTATTTGCGCAATACAACAGTTTTCCCGGCTTTTACAATTATCAAATCCTAGAACATAATTTCTATTATGCTTCGTTGAACAAACTTCCCCATTGTTCAGAAATTATTTTTCATCTTGGAATACGTCATTATAATATTGAAGGGTAGCTAATAAGATGTCATAATGAATCAAAGCATCTTAAATTCTAAACCGAATAAACACGTGAACAAGCGCTTCTTTAATCAATGATTCTGAGAGCAATTATAAGCAACATATTTCTCAGTTTTCTTGAGATTTTTGTAAACAATGCATCTGTTTTTAAATGTATTCAAATGTAATTACAAACAAGTAAAGTGTGATATGATTAGTTTTGACACCTGCAAGATCATTCATGATGCTCTTTATGTGTGTTTATGTATTAAACATTGTCTTATTCACACAAACTTAAATATCAAATTTTGGTTCTTTAAGCAGACAACGCCTCCACGTTATCATAACACTGTGACAAAAGTGACTTTTTTCCTCTTGAATCAATTTTGTGAAGCCTCCGTAGCTCTGGATAGCTATAAACTACCAATATATTTTTAATTGCTTAGACTTAAATCGGGATCTAGAGGAGGTTTTGAGGCCGATGAGCTCTGTTTTCTTTGAATTAATATAAAGACTCTTCTTTGAAAAAGATTGGCAATGTGTCAAAGCACATGCCAGTTTAATAACATAAAAGTACAAATACAAAGTAAATTCCAGGAAAGGTTTTACACAATTCAAACAAAATACTTTACAAATAAAGTTTTTATGAATAGAAAAGAAATGGTGAGGTGAGGTGATAAAATGCACCGTCAAGGTGAGAAAGGGGGGGGGGGAAGGTTGAAAGTTTTGTGAAACTTCACATGACTACGGCCAACTCCAGAATGATTTGGTAATGTTTGCGCAGTACCTATGATACCACATTCTGTGCACGCAAATCACCCTTTGAGCATGTGAGCTGAATAGAAATTTTACCAAACTGCCAGTTTGCCCTTGCAGCGTCGGTAATTAACTATATATTGAACTTCATTACTTTAGCACGTGAACTGTTCCGAGTAAATAAACCTAAATAGAAAAAAACTTCCCCCCGTACTTTTGTATTTCTTTACAAAGTTCTTCCTACCCTCTCTCCGTTTCTCTAAGTTTAACTTAACTATTTACAAGTTAAAGTGTAAATTAATGCGCAGAAGCAATAAAATTATTATTGGCTTGTGAAACTAGCTAGCTCTTTGATTTTCATGCATGCAAAGTGATATTTTTTAACTTCCTGCAATCCAATTTGCTGTGGAAGCTAGCAGCTTTTTGCAGTATATCTTGACCGTTGTCCAAAAGTGCTTTTCTTTGGCCATATATTTCACACAAAGTAAAATTTTAATTGTTAAAAACTGATTTAGAAGCCATATAAATTTTTCAAGGAAAAGGCAAAATGTTCCCAGATGGTAGTTATCATAGCGAGAATGGCTTTACTATGCAGAACAAATTAATTGTTTTAATTACTTAATTGTTTTAATTAATTAATTGTTTTAATTAATTTAATTTAATTAATTAAAACAATCCCATTTCAACATAAACAAGCCACATATCGGCCATTTCACAAAGTGAATTGCTTTTTTTTAAAAAATAATGTTATTTACCGTTAATATCGGTTCGTACTTAACAAATATGTTTTTAGTTTGGACCTCTCAGTCCAAGCTGAAATAATTAACGTATATATATATATTGTGCTGCAGTCGAGTTGTTATATCCTTTATTGACTGAGTTTCTTAGAATTGCTGGCGAAGGTCGTACACCAAAAACCAATCGACAAAACCTTAGCTTAAATACTTCTGAATGAAGATCCCTATCATCCCTTACCCAGAAAAAAAACGAAGCACGTCTCTATCTTCCTTATCAATTACAATAATTAAGAATGCTTTCTCAATGTCAGCAACTAGCCCAATCTTGTTTTGTCGAAATTTGACGAGCAAAGCAAAGATTTGTGGAATGATATTCGGCCCGGTCAGTAAGCAATCGTTTAGTGAAAAGTTACGCAAGTTCGTCGTAGCAGATCCATCATATACAACGCGTAGCTTCGTAGTAACCTTATCCTTTGGTATGACACAATGATGGGGAAGATAGTGAATTTTACAACGATCCTTATCAGATGCCTGAACCCTTTCGACTATTCCTGCTGACAATTGTTCAGAAATACCATTATTACATTTATCAAGATTTTGTGGATCCTTTAGCAGTTTTTGATGCAATGATCTCAATCTATTATGACAGAGTTCTTAATCATCATCAATTTGCGCATGATCATCTTTCCATGGCAGACCAACTTCGTAGCGTGTTAGAGTAAATCGAATATTTCGCACAAAATCTTGTTCCTCGGGTGAGTTCTCTGAGTCAAAGGAGTCAATGCCAACGCTCTCAAATTCCCAGAAACACTTCAATGATATTAATCACTCATCGGTTACCAGAGTAGAATTATTAAGGCAATCGGCTGCTAAAATGATGCTGTTCACAGTATGTCCGTCTGATTTTTGTGATGACCATCCAGACAAAAGCCATCCCAATTTGCTGCTCATCGCTGTTGGACCATTTTCTCCTCGTACAACATCTCTCGTGACTACGTCACAATAATGATCAGCTCCTATCAAGATATCGATTGAATCACAGATACCATTGTCATCAGAAGTATCAAAGTATGCAAGTTCTAAATCATGAAGATGTGGATATTCGTCTATATGTATCCTAGTAGGAAGTGGTGCACATATTGTAGGAAATGCAATTGCATTAATCTCTACTACCTCACCTCCACTCTTGTTTGCAATGCTCACCTTGAACACTTCGTAGCTTACTCGTTTACTCTTGCTTTGGCTAAAGGTATTTAATGGAAGTGTCTCCTTACCAATTGAATTTAACCTTAACCGGCCTTGAAGTCACCTTCGAATGTAAGACCTTTGGCTTCCAGTGTCAAAATGAATTTGCGCTGAAACCGATTTTGATCGATTCGATACGAGAGCTCTGGCCGTCTGCAAAAGAACACTTCCCTTGACAGTTCGTGTGACAGCTGTTGTGGTTGGAGAGGTCACTCCTGACCTCTCCCTTAACAATGTCGACATTTTCTTGTGACGATACACTTGCTTGCTTGGTGTCCCTTATTCAGACAAAAAAGCAACGGTTGGAGTCCCTTAGAATTTTAACTCGGGCTTCCCTTCCCTTTACCTCTTCACAAGATGCTGAATAATGTGATCCTTGACAGTATACGCATTTAACCTTGAAGGTACAAGCACCGTCTTTATCATTTTTTGTTACTACAAATGTTCCAGCTTGGTGTTTTGCAATCGAACGCAATGACTCGCTCATTTCACGTGCCTCAATTCAAACTTTATGGTTTTGAGCAACTTATCAATTTGCCAAACATCACTAGTAGCTTTTCGTGCTACCTGCAATCTTATTTCACTCGGTAGTTTGGACATAATAATTGGTATTAGCAGACTGCCGTACTGGTTTGCAGATACCCCAAGCGAATCAAGTCCTCGCACTTGAACACTTATTTGATCGAAAACATATCTCAATTGCTCCATATATGTGCAGCAATGACCTGTAGGGTTCGACCAAATGTATCTTGCAGAATCGCAATTGCTGCGTCATAATTTGCTGATGATAAGGTAAGTCCCTTTATCCAACGTGCTGCACTACCTTCAAGTAATAAGAATACGTAATTGTTTGCCTTAGACATACTCTCGTTGCTGCGAATCGTAGCATTGTATAAGTCCCAAAAGGCGTTACATTCTGTGATCTTTCCACTGAATTTTGGCAATTGAAGTTTGGGAAGCTTTGCCAACATTATCACTGGTGTTGTTCTTATAGGGGCATTCAAAGTCGTAGAATTCTTATTAATCACTTCATTCGTAATCGTATCACTAGCATTCGTGTTCGTATAGACCGCATTCGTGTTCGTATTGACTGCATTCGTGTTTGTATTGACCGCATTCGTGATCGTATTAACTGCATTCGTGTTCGGGTTATTCTAATCGTTGCTTATCATTGTGTTACTCGTGCTTTCTGTTTCTACCACTAAAGGAATCTGTTCGACTTGTGGTGTAGGACTTTGCCTTCTTTTTATAGTTTCTTGACAAATCTCCGGTTTTCTTGCTGCTTAGATTTTACGTCTAGTGTATAGAATTTTATCCGAGACGGCGGCTGCTTCTTCCATTTCTTGTTCAATATCCGTTACATCACATATCCCAATAAATTTGTCGTTTATTTCGTCTAAGATCTTCATCTTACTCTCAAGTTGTTCAGGGATGACATTACATCGTTCGATGTCTACTTCAGTGGCATCCAGAAGCTCGAGTGTTTCTTTTACAAGCCTTGTACACACGCCACGATAACCGCCTCGTTTGGCGCGAAGTCGTTCAATATTATCCTTTGACATTTCTTTGGTTTTCGAATTAAGCTGCTCCAGAAAACCGTCGTACACCTACTTACCGGTCCCACGTTGGGCACCACTTTATGATTGTTCGAAATATACTCACAAATCTTTGGACGGAACAGACAAGATGTATTGGCTTTCTATATGCACATTTCACTAACGTATAATTGAAATGTTTTTTTTTCTATTTTGCATTTATAATTATTAGTCTGATCTCCTCATCACTGAACGATCCT